AGAGAGAGAGAGAGAGAGAGAGAGAGAGAGAGAGAGAGAGACAGAAGGTGCGAGAAAAAGAAAGACAGAGAGAGACAGACAGACAGACAGACAGACAGACAAACAGACAGACAGACAGATAGACAAAGACAGAGACAGAGAGATAGGGAGGCAGAAAGACAGAGAGACAAAGTGAGACATACAGAGGCAGAGACAGAGCCAGAGACAGACACCGAAACAGAAACAGAATGAAAGATAATATATAGGAAGGGCAAGAAAATAGGGATAATGAGGAATGGTGAAAGAGACGGAGGAGGGGGGAGGAGCAGCAAAAAAAGAGGAGAGATGAAAGGGAATGGGTTGGAGGGGAGGGAGGGAGAAACGTTAGGAGGACGGAGGAAGGAGGCAGGTGATTGCACTTGAGGCAAACTTCTTTAACCTATCTTCTCCACATGGGGTTTGAGGGGTTAGAGACACAGAGAGAAAAAGAGAGACTGGAAGACTAAGAGAGGGAGAGACAGAGACAGAGACAGAGAGACGAAGAGAGAGAGAGAGAGAGAGAGAGAGAGAGAGAGAGAGAGAGAGAGAGAGAGAGAGAGAGATTACCGAACGACAGATGAGGCGTGGGCGAAGTAAATCGGATGAGAGGGGGGTGGGGGCGTGGCGCGAGGGGTGGGGAGAGAAAAGATGTACAAGCGATAGATAGAGAGCGTATGGGGTTGAGCCGGCGCTGTTCATGAATAAGCAATCCACAGACTTGCAAAGGAGGACGGCCTTATCTAATGTCAGCCCTCCTACACACTGCTCCCAGGGGGGGGGGGCAGCTTAAAGCTGGGTGCACACAGCACGCACACAAACATGCACGCACGCACGCACTCATGCAGACGGACACACGCACACACACGGACAAACGAACGACTGCATACATAATATGTTGACGTAGAAACACACACACGGGCAGACAAACACACACAGACAAACAGACAAACAGACAAACACACTCACACGAACACGTACGGACAAAAAATACCAAAGAGACATGCAAGGATAAGTGCATAGACGTCCAGACAAATCCCACGTGTGGTCAAAGATACAGAGATGATTTCAGTTTGAGTGAAAAGAAGAACATCCACACAATAATGGCCATTTAGTAGCGGGAGAAAGTAAGACAGGCAAACAGAGAGACAGAAACAACAGAGGGAAAGTAAAGAAGTACGACCTACCAGTGGCGACCTGTAATCACCCGCAATTAAGAAATGAGTAAAAATAAGGACCTAGAAACTGAGTAAGTTAGTTTTAGTGAGTGTTTAACGGCACTTGCAATACAATAAGGTCATATAAGTGTCGAAGAATAGATATATTACAAGAGAGTGACAAACACAAAAAAGGAAGAGAGGTGAGGACGCTAGATGTTTGATAGGAAAGAAGGAGCAAACCACACTACAGCACCCACGACCAGCCACAAAGAAAGGAAGACAGACACAGAGAAACAACAAAACAAAGGGGCAGAAAACAAGAAGCAACTATCAGGGACACACTCCAATCATCCACTCAAAGAAACCTAAAAAGACACAAATACGAGGAAGGAGGGACAGTGCAGATACGGAACGAGAGAAGAACGAGCGAACTCACAAAGACAGGTGAAAGGACGGAAGGACAGAGGTACGGGAGGAAAACTCAGGATTTCAGAGGCACGTAACGACGAAAAGCGGATGGGAGGACGGAAAGAGATGGACGTTCACGCTGAGAGCGAAAACGAGAGAGAGAGAGAGAGAGAGAGAGAGACACA